AGGTTTCATGCAGTTTTGTGTATAAGCTTTCCTATGAATAATATATTCTTCCTAAAACCTGTTGTGTCCGGCGCGCTGCCTGATGACAGGAGCGCGCATCCTGATTGGTTGTAGCAAGCGCGGGAGTTTTCGCGCTTGCGGATTGGTTAGTTAATTTGACAGCCGGGTATAAAAGGCTGTAATTTTCCTCAGCTGTTTTGTTCTGTCAGTTCTAGTGTTACTGCGTTAAATGAATGAAGTTAGATGTTCCGAGTTGCCTCGTTATTGCTACCCCCAGTATTTAATACTGGCGACGAGGGTTGAGGATCGCTCCACGGCCTGCACAGTACCGTCTCCATGAGTTTTGCCACCTTAGCGCTCGAACAGTGTTATTGCTGTAATGGCCCCGCCAATCTTCGCCCCTTTCAATGCGGCTACTGAGACCTGGGACGCATATGAAGCATGTTTTGAATGTTTTTTAGAGGCCAACGATTATACTGACCTATCCAGTAATTGGAAACGGGCCCATTTCTTGAACTCCTGTGGCCCTGAGGTATTTGCTACGACTAGGGCATTATTAGCTCCTTTGCCTGTACACACAGTTTCCTGGGAGACATTGAAGGAGAAACTTAGAAACCATTATTTTCCTACACCGTCTAGCATCACACGCCGTTTTAACTTGCGGCAAGTGCTTCAGGAGGAGGGGGAGTCAATTAACCGCTATGTGGCTCGCCTAAGGACCGCTGCTCTCGATTGTGAATATCGGGACTTGGATGACGCTTTGGTAGAGCAGCTGGTATGCGGGGTCAGAGACATTAGGCTGCAGAGGCGGCTTTTGGCTAAGAGAAACTTAGATCTACCTACAGGCATAGAGGAAGCCCAGGCGGCAGAAATGTCAGAAAAATCCACTGCTGATATTCGGAAATTTCATTCCCGTTGCCCCACCTGCTGCGACTGTACACCTGCAGGAGTTGCCTCTGATGAAACCTCTGAGGAGGAGGCAGATGTCAGTCTTCTGAAGGCCACCAAAGCCCGGGGTTCTGGCCAGGGGCCGAAGAAAAAGCCTCCTGCCTCTTGTCTTGGCTGCGGGGAGAATCACCCAAGGGCTTCCTGTCATTTTCGATCTGCCATTTGTCACTATTGTGGCAAGCAGGGCCACATTGCCAGGGTTTGCCGTTCTTCCCCCAAGCCTACCTTTGCCTCCAAGCCCAGGCGTCCAGCGAATGAGGAGTGTTTTGCCATTTTTCGTGGCCGCCGGGTGGAAGATGTCACCGCCCGCCCTGCTGTATCTGGGGAGTCTAAACTATGGATGACTGTCAAAATCGAAGGAGCTGACTGCTGCATGGAAGTCGACACGGGGTTGTCCAAGTCTATTGTGTCCTGGAAAGTGTTGAAGTGCCTAATCCCCACAATTCAAAAGAGCCAGCTTCGTTCCTGTCCTGTCAAACTGCGGGACTATCAGGGAAATTACATCCCTATCCTGGGGCATGGCCGATTCCTAGTAGAGAGAGGGGTTCGCGGGGCGTCTGCCTCTGATTGTAGTCGATGGGTCCCTTCCTAGCCTTCTCGTCTTGGATTGGTACCGTTCCCTGGGGTTGGAAATTTCGGGAATTCACTCCATGTGTGTGGATGAATTCTCTGCCTTATCCTCTGAATTCGCTGATGTGTTTGAGGACTCTTTAGTATACAGGCTCCCCAATTTCCCTGAACCTTGACCCTGGGGTGGCCCCGATACGTCTCAAGCCTCGCCGGGTGCCACTGGCCCTGCGTCCTAAGGTCGATGCCAAGCTGGACAAGCTCATCGCCCAAGGGGTTTTAGAACCCACCGACCATTCTAGATGGGAGACCCTATTGTGATACCGATTAAGCAGGACGGATCTATAAGGAATTGTGCTGATTTTAAATGCACGTTAAATAAGGCGTTGCAAGCTAATCCATACCCGGTAGCTGTTGTACTTACTTCACTCCCTTGGGCCGGGCTCCATTTTTGCTAAATTAGATTTAGCTCAAGCGTACCAGCAGCTCCCAGTGGATGATGCTTCTGCAGAAGCTCAGACCATCATGACCCACCGGGGAGCATTCAAATGCCGGCACCTGCAATTTGGCATAAACGTTGCTCCTTTTCCAAAATCTAATGGAGCGTCTGCTTCATGGGCTGCCTGGCTTCATACCGTACTTCGACGATGTGCTCATCTCCGCCTCTTGCCGGAGTGAGCTCATCGTTAGGGTAAGGGCTGTCTTTCTCCGTTTTCGGGAATCTGGCCTCAAATTGAAAAAGCACAAGTGTGTGATTGGCGTATATCTGGGATATCTGGTCGATGCCAAGGGAATCCATCCAACCCCCTCAAAAGTGGCTGCCATCAAACAGGCCCCAGCTCCCACCTGTCACTCGGAGCTTCAATCATTTTTGGGGCTGTTGAATTTTTATAATGTGTTTTTGCCCCACAAAGCCGTAGTAGCTGAGCCGCTCCACCGTTTACTGGGTAAAGACACAACTTGGTCATGGAACCATGTTCATGCTCGCTCCTTCCAGGCTGTCAAAGATTTACTTACCTCATCGGCTGTACTGGTACAATATAGCTCTTCCTTGCCCCTTACCTTGACGGCCGATGCGTCACCTTTTGGCATAGGTGCTGTGCTCAGCCATAGGTTCTTGAATGGTTTGGAGGCTCCTATTGCATTTTATTCGAGGACGTTGTCCTCTGCTGAGCGAAAATATAGCCAGCTCGATAGAGAAGCTTTGGCCGCCGTTGCCTCCATCAAGCTTTTTCATGAGTATATCTACGGCCGGCATTTTGAGTTGGTGACCAACCATAAGCCGCTCCTTGGGCTTCTGGCTTCTGGTCAAACCCCCCAAGCCCTATCGCCCAGGATGTCCCGTTGAGCTGTTTTCTTGGCTGCCTATGATTACACCCTGATCTACCATCCTGACAAATTGATATCGCATGCAGATGCGCTCAGTCGTTGTCCCTTGCCTTTATCTGTTGTTGATCCTGCACCAGCCCTGTCAGTCCTCTTGGTGGACGAGCTTAACAGCCCCTTGACTGCCGCTGACATTGTGGCTCATTGCCTCCACGACCCCATACTCTCCCAGGTTTTGGATTGGGTAGGCAGGGGTTGGCCGTTGGGGCAGGTGGCAGCATCTTTCATGCCATATAAGGTCTGTCAGTACGAATTGTCGGTTCAACTAGGTTGTCTATTGTGGGGTAATAGGGTGGTGGTTCCCCTCAAACTGCAGCTGGCAATAATGCAGTCGTTGCACGAAAGTCATCTGGGCATCGTTCGGATGAAAGGTCTCAGCCGGAGTTACGTTTGGTGGCCTAATATAGATCAGGACATTGGAGAGTGGGTTGCTGGTTGTCAGAAATGCCAGTTATCCAGACCAGCTGCCCCTGTCTCTGTTCCCCGTGACTGGGAGGCCCCCAGGGGGCCATGGTCGCGAATCCATCTGGATTTTGCTGGCCCTTTCAGAGGGCGCATGTTCCTAATTGTGGTTGATGCCTTCTCCAAGTGGGTACAGTTAGAGCAGATGGCATCTACCACATCCGAAGCAGTCATTCGGGTGTTACGCCGCCTATTTGCCACCCATGGACTTCCGGATGTACTGGTGTCGGACAATGTGCCGCAATTCACAGTGGCCGTGTTCCAACTATTTTTGGTCAACTTGGGAATCCGCCATGCCCAGGTCGCCCCGTATCATCCAGCCAGTAATGGCCTGGCTGAACGGGCCGTGCGCTCCGCAAAGGACGCACTGGCTCGCTTAACACCCACAGACTGGCAGAACAGGGTATCAACATATCTTTTCTCCCAACACACGACACCGTGTCCGACCACTAACAGAAGCCCGGCAGAGATGTTAATGGGTTGCCGCCTGCGAACCATTTTAGACCGGCTGCACCCCACCTATGCACCGGCGGACCCTTGTGGTGGGCACCCGGTCACCAGGGCGTTTGAGGAGGGGGCATTAGTTTTCGCCCGTAATTATGGGGGTGAACAGCGGTGGCTACCTGGTCGAGTGACTATGGTAACTGGCCCCTGCTCTTACAGAATACTACTCGATGACGGCCGGACATGGCGGCAACATGTGGACCAACTGCGCGGACGCTACCCAGCAGTTCCACAGGGGAATATAGCAGCCGCGCCAGGGACACCCCAGGATGTGCCACCGACCCTGCCGAGTCCCAGCGCCATTTCTCCTAGCACCGTGCCAGTGGATGGGACCGTATCATTGCACGCACCTGTTCCTGTGCCTTGTTCTGAGGGGTCGTTAGAGTCACCTGCCGTTCCACCGGCCAACATGGACCATGCACCACCAGAGGTCGCTCCACTCCCTAGATGGTCAGGGTGATTGTGCAAGCGCCCTGAGTATTTAAAAGATTAAGTATGTTTCATCCGAGGAGGAAGGAGTGTTGTGTCCGGCGCGCTGCCTGATGACGGGAGCGTGCATCCTAATTGGTTGCAGCAAGCGCGGGAGTTTTCACGCTTGCGAATTGGTTAGTTAATTTGACAGCCAGGTATAAAAGGCTGTCATTTTCCTCAGCTGTTTTGTTCTGTCATTTCTAGTGTTTCTGCATTAAATACCATGAAGTTAAATGTTCCGAGGTGCCTCGTTATTGCTATCCTCAGTATTTAATACTAAGTTACTGTTTTTTTGTACCTCAGCAAAGAGCAACAGATGCAGAGCAATGTCCAGATAGCCCTCGACTTACAACAGTTCACTTAGTGACTATTCAAAGTTACAAGGGCACTGAAAAAAAGAGATTTAGGACCATTTTTCAGACTTATGACCAATGCAGCTTCCTCATGGTCACTGTGACTTATATTTGGATGCGTGACCACTGACTCACGTTTATGACCGTTGCAGTGTTCTCGGGTCACGTGATCGCCTTTTGCAAACCTTCTGTCAAGCAAAGTCAACGGGGAAACCAGATTCGCTTAATAACCCTGTTATTATTTTAAGAAACGCCATGATTCACTTCCCATACGTGGCCAAGGAAAGTCGTAAAATGGCGCAAACTCACCTAACCAATTTCTGACTTGGCAACATAAATTCTGGGCTCAGTTGTGGGGGTAAGTGGAGGACTACTTGTACACGGGAACTGGGATAGATTTGAAAAAGAAAAAAAAATACACGAAAGTCCCTCACGCGCGTCTGAGGTGGGAAGGAGAATACGCGCGCCGGCCGGGGGGTGGAGGAGCTTTTGAACTGCGCATGACTTTTCTGGCGGGAGGGCGCATGCGCATCGCCGCGGTCGAAGCCCGGGATGCTCCCTGGTGCGGGCGCTGCCTCCTGACGGGGCTTGAGGAGGGTTGGGAAAGAATGGTGTGAGGTGGGCCGCGCGTGCGCAGTGGCGTCCCGCCCGGTGCTGCCTGAGGAGTGAAAGGCTGACGGGCCGCCGCGGACCCCAGGAGGCCTGGGCTGGCAAGTATCGACGGCCGTCTGGGCTGGCTGGCTGGAGGAGGGAGGCGGCCTCCCGGTTTTCTTTTCTGGAGTCCGTCTCGGGCTTCCCCGGATTGCAGATTTCCCCGCTTCGCTTTCCCCCTTTTTTTGGGCCACTTCGCGTCGTCCCCGGCGGGCCTGACTACAAAGCCCATCGCCCACTGCTTGCCCGCCTTTCCTGGGTCGTTCCCCGTCCGGCTGGGCAGGAGGGATGCTGTGGTCCCTTTCTGCCATTGCCGGGGAAACCGGGCCGCATCTATCTCGATCCCTGGCCACCAAGGTGTAGTGCATGGGGATGATGGGAATTGTAGTCCTTTGGAGACACCTGGACGCGGACCCCCGCCCCCCCAAACAGTTTTCATCGATACTTATGTGCAACGCTGTGTTTTGAGGGAATAATAATAATATCTTTTTTCTAAAATTTTATTTTGTACAATTCAAGGCAGTGTTATTTAATGCTCCTGCTTCCTGTTTTCCCACAACAACAACAACAACCCTGTGAGGTAGGTTGGGCTAAAAGAAAGCAGCTGGCCTCACAGGTTTTCATGTCTGATTAATAATAATAACATCACCCACAATCTTTCTATTTCCTTGGTGCTCTCTCAAGCTCTCAGCTTGGTTGTTTACTTGCGGACATTTCATTACTCAGCTAGGTAACAACATCATTGTTTGAGACTCTCTCTCTGCTACAGGTAGTCCTCGACTTACAGCAGTTTGTTTAGCGATGGCTCGAAGAACTGTGGCAAGAAAGGTTGTAGAATGGGGCAAAAGTCCCTTAACAAACGCCTCACTTAGCAACAGGAATGTTGGGCTCAATTGTGGTCGTAAGTCAAGGACTACCTGTATTGGAGTCTCCATTTCTTCTCCCCATGTCATTTTCCCCCCTTCTTCAATTACATCCAAATCCTTAAATTTGGAACCTGCTTTGCAATCCAGCACTGCTGCACCCTAATACTTTTTGGAGTTGAAATTTTTCCCTTCTCTTTTTTCTGTTTCCTCCATTACTTTGAAGCTTTCCCCACCCTGTGGGGAAATGTTTGTTTATAATATTTTAAGGCACTCCATTTGCAGAAGTTTCCTTCTCGTTCAGCAAACAAATAGACACTGTTAGCAAGTAGTTCAGATGTCAGAGAGATGGTCTGTTGCAGCACATCTTCTGAGTTAATCTCCTTGTCAAAAGGAGTCTAGTGCAGTGATTAGAAGCCTACTAGAAACTATCAGTCATGAAGTTATTTTTTCAGGCTTTGCTGCATCTACTTGCACGCAGATTGTCCAGTAAATTTAGTTAATATGATTTTTCTCAGAACCAGATATTTCTGTTCTGGGAATTGGGGCAATAACACAGACATTTATGACGGCTTCAGTAAAGTTAAAATAAACATGTTCTAAAAAGTGGCATAGTACCTCTAAACTGAAACATGATTTCAGTTGCATTTCAAACATTATTTTAAACACAGTACTCGGGAGTAATTCTGTCTTGGCAAGAGGATGAATGAGTACTGTACAGCACGCAGTAGTAGTTCTGTTCCCAAATGACATGATTTAGTGAGAGGTTCCTACATATTGTAATGCTTAAGGTTGTATTTCAAAGTACTAGAGTTGAACAGTTCTTTGAGACTGAAAGTTTTCCTTATAAATAATCTCAGACCTTTGAAAATTTGTACTTCATCCTTTTCTTCTAAGTCTTATTACTGCAACTGCAGATAAAATAGTTCTGGTTTGAAATATGAACCATTTGAGAGTTAATTTGGAAGAGGTTTAGATTGAAATTCAGTACATGTATTGATTTATATTTTCTGTAATGTATATATGGTTCTTGTGGAGATCTGAATTGATTTATGACAAAATAAGCTTCTTCATATTAAATTTTATGCCAGGTAGCCTTGGTATTTATAGGAGAGGTCACAGCCTGATGTTTTAGAGCCCTGTATTACTTTCCCTTGGCATCCATATCCTCTGTTATGGAGAGAATATTATGAGTAATTATACTATCTTTAATTGAATTTACTAATTAAATCAAATTATTTTTTGTCTTGACATGAACCTCTTCATTAAACCTTCCGTCTTGCTTCAGGTTATGATTATTTTAGTCTCTAGAAGCAGTTTTGTTACCACCTCTTCAAATTGTTCCTTGATGCTATTCTAGAAATTAACCCCGGAATCATGATCATTATCTTTAACCCAGACAAAACGAACGATTAGAGCAATCTGTTGGTTTTCCCTTTTCTTCTGTAAATCCTCAAGTTAAACATCTAAGCATCATTTTTTCATTAAGCTGAATGATTTGAACAAACCATCATTTGAAAACAAACCTCAAATCATGATCTATGACTGTTTTTAGCCAGTCATAAATTATAATTTCATAGTTCAGTAACTAGAATGAGACTAAACATTAATGATGGTTTGGTGTAATATCTCAGGGAAACTGGTTTTGCAACTCTTCTATGTACTATTCTGTAATGTTAATTCTCTGTAAAGTCCTTCTACATACTAGCTAACTCATATTAGTCTGTAAAGTGATTAGTACATTGATAGTCCTATATTTAAAAAATTTGCATATGCCATATAAAGATCTTAAATTGTATTTTAACTTCACAGACAAAAATGAGAAATTATTCAGTTAATTGTTTGTTAATAAAAGATCCCTATTCTTATTTCATTGGCAGCAGCCTGATTTCTTTGGAGAATTCTTCTCATAGTATATCACCATTTGCTTTGCCATCACTTGCGCTCTAAATTAATTTTTTCTTTGGTTTACTTTGTTCAGTAGTATTTTGGTGACTCTGAAGCATTGTTCTAGTTGTAAGAACTTTGAAAAATATAAGAAAAGACATGATTGAAAGATAAAATTCTAATTGTGGATACTTTGTAATTTGTGATTTTTTAATTAAAAATGTTTGAATGCTAAGTAAAATATACATGCATATTTATTGGCAATAGCACTTAGACTTACGGAAAATAAGACCCTGTTTTATATTTTTTTGAACTCTGAAATAAGCGCTTGGCCTTATTTTCGGGGAGGTCTTATTATTTTGGGGCTCATGGAGGAAACCAGAGGAAATGGCAGGGACTGGCTGCACATGTGTTTAAATATTTTTGGGGAGGGCTTATTTTCAGGGGGCGCTTATTTTAATGTATGTGCTCAAAAGCCCAGTTGGACTTATTATCAGGGGATGTCTTATTTTAGGGGAAACGCTATATACTGCTTCATAGTTCTTTACAGCCCTCTCTAAGTGGTTTACAGAGTCAGCATATTGCCCCCAACAATCTGGGTCCTCATTTTAACGACTTCGGAAGGATGAAAGGCTAAGTCAACCTTGAGCCTGGTGAGATTTGATCTGCCAAACTGCTGGCAGCAGGTGATCAGCAGAAGTAGCCTGCAGTACTGCACTCTAACCATTGCGCCACTGTGGCTCATTAATTTATAGAAACATAAATGAATAACATAAAATATGTCAAAAAAATGACAGAAAGTAAAGTAGAGAACCAGAATAGTTTGAGCTGGCATCTCATTGGTACTGAGAAAGGGGTTGACATGTTTGTGGGTGGTATTTGTCTCACTTGTGTTTAATGGAAACCATCCCTGCTGAGCTGTTGTGACATCTTAAATTTTTTTTGCCATGATTTTATATATCATCCACACCCCAAACATGAGACTTGAATATTTGGAGCATTGTATTATTTGTTGTTGCTTCTTCTTGGAATATCTTAAGCACTGATGTTTATTGTGGTCTGGAAGAAGCATGTTTAAAATGATTTAATATGGTCTTGGAAAGTAAACATTTTCATGATCCATATGAATTTAAGAATGATTAAGGACAAATATACTCCATTTATAATTTTTTTTTTTTTGCTTTAATTTATATGCCGCCCTTCTCCGGAGACTCACGGCGCCCTACAATGCGTTAAGCAATAACCTTCATACTTTTGTATATTTATACAAAGTCAGCTTATTGCCCCCACAATCTGGGTCCTCATTTTACCTACCTTTGAAAGGATGGAAGGCTGAGTCAACCTTGAGCCTGGTGAGATTTGAACTTGCAGTAATTGCAAGCAGCAGATGTTAATAACAGTGCTTTAGTCCACTGTACTATCAGGCTCTTATCATAACATTAATTTTGTTGCTTCACTTACAGCTATCTTTTTTGTTCTTTTGTCAGATTACCAATTTCTCATGTTTTCACAATGAGACAGGCCTGGGGTCATTTCTTCCCTACACCTTGTAGTTGATAGTTTTAGATGTCGAGACAATGCTGGTGTAGATATGGCAGACAGCATCAAGATCTTCCTTAATGATCTTATCAGGGTAAGTACTTCCTTTTATTCTTGTTATACAGGACAGTGCATTTAAGATAAGATTGGATTTTAGAGTGTTTCAGCCATTAACATTTATGTTAGCTCCCATAAATCTGTCTTTGGTGGTATGAAGAAAGGAAGTTTTAGGAACCTGTAGGACTTCTTTCACAAACTATGTGTAACTAACAAGTAAAATCCATTTCAGCACCAATTCTAACTCTGATAGTTTCTCAGCATTTGGGTTAAGCTCAAGTGTAATATCCTTGTGTCTAACTATGATTCATAGTAAATGGAGAGTTTCTGAACTGTGATGCCATTATATTACTGATCAGATAATGAATATCAGAATAACAGAACAGAATAACAGAATTGGAAGGAATCCTATACCATTTCTGACAAGTGGTTGACAAGTCTTGCTTTAAAGGATTAGATTTAGCTAGAAAACCACTGGGTAGTTGCTTAGATATCTTATTTAGAAAAAAATCAGGAGAAACAAGATGTCGATGAAGATTCTCAGTCACCCAGGTAGAACTGTTTGATGAATCATGACAATTGGTCAGCAGAAACAAGAACACCTAGAGCAAGTATCCAACTTATCTCAGACATTTGAAGTATCTAACGGGATTGCATTTTGACATTCAGTAGAATATCTTTAGAAGAAAATATGCAGGCAACAGATGTTTAAATTTGAATTTGCAGCAGAGGTGCACAATCTGTTTTGAGTCAGGGAGCGCATTTTGTTTTTGAGTCAAATGCCAGGGTAAACATATACTTCATTTAGTTTCTGGTTTTCACTGAATTAAATTAATGAAATACAATTACTATTACAAGCTTTTATTAGTGAAATAGTTACAAACAGGCTTTCTGAAGCTTCAGATTTTGCTGCTCTGACATACAGATAGTCCTCACTTACCAATCACAATTGGGACCGGTGGCTCTGTCATTATGTAGTATGGTCATTAAGTGAAACATTAAATGGCTGTGCCAATTTACAACATCAGTTCTGGCTGCTGCCAATAAGTATATCACTGTAGGTTGTTAATTTTAATGTAACGTGACCACGATTGGTAACTTCCTGATGGCTTCCCCATTAAACTGTTGGAAGCCAGCTGAAAAAGTCGTAAATGGTGTTCATGTGCCTGAAGGGGATTGTGACAACTGCAACTTCAAGGAACAGCTACAAATCTTTTTCAGTGCTGTCATAACATCAGTCACTGAATGAGTGGTTGGTAAGCGTGCACTATCTGTAGTCCCAATACTGAAGCATCTAACTTTTTATCATTTGCATTTAATACTTTTGAAATACATTTTCAAAATCTGGATTTTTCATACATGTTGGGGATTTGGAACTATTTGCGGAATTTGAGTTTTGCTTGTCAGAAGCCAGTGGGCAAAGTCGCAAATGGTAAATCCATCATTCTGGGACTCTGCAGCTACTGTAAATAGCTGCTGGTTACCAAATTTTGATCATATGACTGGAGTTGCTACAACAATCATAAGTGGAAGGACTGGTCATAAGTCACTTTTTTTAGTGCTGTTGGAATTTTGAATGGTCACTAAATGAACGGCTGTTGGTTGAGAAGTACCTGCATACAGACTTGAATTGTATACTATATGTTGAATTTAGATGTTTATGTCTCTAGGGAATTAAAGATTCCATATGGGGGATCTGCACAATCTCCAAGCTGGATGCTCGGATCCAACAGAAAAGGGAAGAGCAGCGGAAAAGAAGAGCAACTAGTGTGCTTGCCCAACGAAGAGCACAAAGCGAAGAGAGGAAGCAAGAGAAGTAAGTTCCAAGCTTGGGAATTGTGTCGTGACCTCAGTAATCATCTATCAGTGTTTTATCAACAATAGCAATAGCACTTAGACTTATATACCGCTTCACAGTGCTTTTTACAGCCCTCTCTAAGTGGTTTTACAGAGTCAGCATATTGCCCCCAACAATCTGAGTCCTCATTTTACTGACCTCAGAAGGACAGAAGGTTGAGTCAAATTTGAGGCTGGTGAGAATTGAACTGTTGGCAGTCAGCAGAATTAGTCTGCAATACTGCATTCTAACTACTGCACCACCACCAAGATGGCACTGAATCCCTAGAAATCACTTCTGCTAGCATAGTCATAAACTGGATCCTGCAAATTTTAGTAGGGATTTTTATTTTATATTGGCAAAATTAAATGAGGATTTTGAAATATTCTATTATGTGGATCTCTCAGCCAGTGTCATTTGAGGGACTGACTATGTTCTATATAGCTGTTTAATTTCATCATGGAAGCCACTGGATTCTTTGTAGGAAGAGACTTGGAATGAAGATTTTAAGATAATAATTTTAGTCTCCAGCCCAGTAGCTTCTGTAGTTGTAATTCACGTTTTTTAAAAAAGTTGACTTTATGAAAAAGAAATAAAAAAGGCTGCAAAGGCTGCCGGGAAGAAGAGAAGCCAAGGAGGCTGAGAATTTTTCTTTCCAAGAGGCTGACTCCTTGTAACTGGGAAGGGGAAAAGGAGAATTGAGGAGAATGAAGAGGAACGCCAAAAGCTCGTCGACTATGTCTACTACGCCATCCTCTAAAAAGCGACCACAGCTCCTGACGAGTCATATAATACCTGTAAGTGTTTCGTCTGTGTTGAAGAATTTGAGGAGGATAAGAGTACTATGAAGTGCTCCCTGTGGGACTCGCATGCTCATCACAAGTGTCTGGGGTTAACCAAAGGTGTTGCCCAGTTTTTACACTCGACTTCCCTAACCCAGTTTGTGTTTCCGTTGTTTTGCCCTTCTTGTAAGCTTAAATTTGACAGATTCATTGTTTTGTTTGAACGGGTTGACCGTATGGAAGAATGTTTGGCGGCCTTAGAAGAAAAGGAAAGGATACAGAGCATTGAACCATCAATTTCCTGCAATTCCAATCTGAATCGCCGGCCTAAATTGCAGGACGTTGTTAAGCCCATGCATGACATCTGGCTCCACATGAAAGATGCGATTGAAAGAGAAAAGAAATGACCCAACGTGATCTTATTCGGATTGGATGACTCTGATGAATTTGATGACATCACCAGGGTGTGCGGCATTATCAGCAGTTTCCAGGCGTCAACCATTAGACCCAACAAAAACGTACACGTTTCCCGTGAAGGCCCTGAGTATAAGAATAATGACGGCTCAGTGGTGCCACGGTTTTTGCAAAGTAGTTTGCAAGAATGAAACCTGTAAACGGGAGTTCATATCCATGATAAATTTGTTTGCCAAAAGCAGCGTAAACCATAAGAAATTACATTCGCAGCCTGATTTGTCCGTCCTACAACATATCCGCGCTCAAGAGCTCCATGCAGAGCTTAAAGAACGTTTGGACAAAGTGAAACAGATCTATATGTCGACTACCGTGCTGACTGTATTAAACGTAAGAACATTGGCCAAGCCCTAACATTCATGCTTCTGTTCACCAATGTTAGGTATGCACACCCTCCATCTACTTAAGGTCCATTCCTACTGGTTTAATGTGTAAACTATTTAATGCAAGAAGCCTCGCAAACAAAATGTCTGAATTCCTTTTGCTCCTGAACACGTCTCTTTTTGACCTCATTTTTGTTTGTGAGACTTAGTTGAATGTGTCTTTTCTAGACACTTTTTTTTTACTGCAAGTGATTATCACGTTTTTCGGCCTGACCGTGAAAATCACAGAGGTGGTGGTGTTGCACGAACAACTGCTTTAAACTCAATGTAAATCATTCTAAACTTGACTGTAAAAAATTTGATTTCTTTAATAGAGTTGTCAAAGTCTGGAATGCCCTACCTCAGTGATGGCTAACATTTTTGTTGTCGTGTTCCGAAAGCGCGACAGCACCCATAATTCAATTCGCGTGCAACCCCCATGTGCCCTCCACATGCACGCCCCCCACCACGCATGCACCCTGCCCCCCCCCTTTGCCCATTTTTGGCTTCCAGGTTGGTGCAGGAGGCCTTTCTGCCACCCCCCCTCCGATTTGGGCCTGGAAAGCCACCTGCACCAACCTGGAAGCCAAAATGGGGTGCTGGGGGCAATGTGAGTGCCCCCTGCTTATGTGCCTCCCTGCACATGCGTGCACATGTTCCCCGCATGCACCCTGCGCATGCGCGGCAGAGACCTGAAGACCAGCTGGCTGGTGCACGCGCATGCATGGTGGAACTCAGCTGGGGCGACAGCTGGCATGCTCGCAGAGAGGGCTCTACGTGCTACAGGTTTGCCATCATGGCCCTACCTGATTCAGTTGTCTCAGCTACAAATTTTTGCAATTTCAGTCACAAATTGACTTCTGTGGACCTTACTTCATACTTAAGTGGTCAGTAGAAGGGGCGTGCATAAGTGTACTAACGTGCTTATTGTCCCTGTCATTGTATTTTTATTCTCTTGTTCTTGTTTTTGTTTGACAAATTCCAATAAATAAAATTAAATGAATAAATAAATAATTCTTAGGTGCTAAACCACATACAGTTCTACATATATATCTGTATGATATTGAATAGTTGAAATGATGAATGTCTAGATAGGGTTACCTAACAACAGAGAAAAACAAGGAAAACTGGAAACTTTTAAAATAGGGTGGTTGTTATTTTTACCAAATGTGGCTCCCAACAGTTTGAAATTTAATGAGAATAATGGAAATGTACCAGTATACTTTTGCATTTTTATGGTTGCAAATAGATTGAAACTACCAAGCTGAAATAATCTGCTTCCGTATCAAGCATTCCCATCAGTTTCTGTGTTTAAACAGATATGCTTTTTGAAAATACATGTAGTTTTGATTTTTGCACTTTCTTTTATTTTTCTTTAGTGAACCCAGGATAGTAAGCCGAATACTTCAGTGTTGTGCGTGGAACGGAGGTGTATTTTGGGTAAGAATATTTGCGCTTCTTTTTTGACAACAGCAACATAATTGAATCAATTGCTTTGTTCTTTTTGCAAATATACTTACTTGCTTGAACTTTTTAATTGGATAATGCTGCAACCTGAAAAGCAAACTGAATAGTGATTGAAATCATTACTATTTCCCAGATAAGAGATAGTTAACATTTCGTTAGCCTTGGTAGATGCAGTGTTATCCCAATCATATTTTAATATAAATATAAATAAAAATAGCCACACAATCCCAGGAAATACATGTTTGAGTTAAGAAATGTTAGCAGCCCTCATCCATTTTTGCCATCTCAATAGCAATAGCACTTAGACTTATATACCCCTTTTCAGTGCTTTACAGCCCTCTCTAAGCGGTTTACAGAGTCAGCATGTTGCCTCCAACAATTTGGGTCCTCATTTTACCTACCTCAGAAGGATGGAAGGCTGAGTCAACCCTGAGCCTGGTAAGATTTGATCTGCCAAATTGCAGTCAGCTGGCAGTCAGCAGAAGTATTCTGCAGTACTGCATTTAAACCACTGCGCCACTGCCGCTCTCAAATACATCTTTTACTGGGATTGTGGAGCTATAGCACTGGGCAAGTCCTAAAAAAGGTACAGTTTGTTTAAGGGGGTGCTTACTGATATGGAATGTAATCTTACACCTTTTCTAAAGCACCTTTTTCTTTTGGATTTAAAGAACTTTATATTCTTAATTTCAGTTAGGGAAACTTAGTAGCTCTGTGTTTATAGCATTTTAGTGTTTCTTTTTGCTGTGTTTTTCCCGGTTACAATTTCCCCATAAAACTAAGGATGAATGTGCTGGAATTGTCATATTAGTAAAGATAAATTATTCATATATTTCCTTGTGTATGTACTTGGGGAAAACCATGAAATATATGCTAAGGTATCAGGATTGAAGCTCAGTTGTAGAAAACAGAATTGCATCTTCTGGAACTTGGAAAACATTCTTTCCCCATTGTAGCATGCACAATTAAAAATAGTGGTTAAAACTGAATTGCTGTGTGTTTTTTTTAGCTTAGCCTCCTTTTGTTCTACCGGGTGTTCATCCCTCTGCTTCAGTCAGCAACAGCACATGTAATTGGTAAGTATATTACTGTTTAAGACATTTACCAAGTAAATACTTCTTTGTACCTAATCTAGGCAGTTATGTTATGATAGACAAGTGTACAATTGCTTGTATTGAATCTATCCTACTCTTCTCTTCCCTTGCCCTCATATTTTCAAACTTGGAACATAGTACTTACTATATTTGTAAACATGAAATAACGCTCTTGAATGAAAGGAAGCTATAATTATGGTCCTGTCTACATTTAATGATCTGTCGCCTACTTGTGATCAGTAGATGAGATTTATAGAGGGAAGATATATTTTCTTTTTCTGGTATGGCAGTTCATGTCAAGCCCCTAAATTGTAATGAATCCTTTTTCTTACCACCATTGAACATGCTCTCTCTGTTTTGAAAGGGGACCCGTCATTACATGGTGATGTCTGGTCTTGGCTGGAATTTATTCTCACCTCCATCTTCAGTGCCCTTTGGGTCCTCCCCCTCTTTGTGCTCAGCAAAGTGGTCAATGCCATTTGGTTTCAGGTAAATCGTTTTTTTTGAAGAAATTGAATACTGGCCTAGCTCTTCTTGGCTATCTACATAAGCCATTCCTTGATATACAGATAGTCCTTGTCTTACAACCATTTGTAGTGAACATTCGAAGCTACAATATCACTGAAAAAAGTGACTTACAATCGTTCCTCTCATTTAGGACTGTCAGAGCATTCCCACAGTCATGTGATCAAAATTTGGGTGCTTTGCAACCGGCCTATATTTATGATGGCTGCCATGTCCTGGGGTTAGGTGCCTGCCATTTGCAACCTTCCCAGCCGGCTTCCAACAAGTAAAGTCAAAGGGGGAAAGCCAGATTCGCTTAATGACTGCATAGTTCACTAAGTGCAGTGATTCGCTTAACAACCATGGCTGAAAAGCTCTTAAAATTGGGCGTGACTCATTTAACAACCAATGTGCTTACCAATGGAAATTCTGGTCTTAAATTGTGGTCATAAATCAAGGACTACCTGTATTGTACTGTGTTTATGAGGGATATTCAAGACAACAATCTTCTTCCATTTTGTTCAGAAGTAAGTCTGATTATTCTGTTTCAGGACATTGCTGATCTGGCATTTGAGGTGTCAGGAAGGAAGCCGCAGCCTTTCCCCAGTGTCAGTAAAATCATTGCCGACATGTTGTTTAACCTCTTACTGCAAGCTCTCTTTCTCATCCAGGTAAGAGTGGGCATAAAAACACTCAATCTAGATTATCCAGACTCTTTAAGAGTAATAGACATTGATATTTGAAAGACATCCAAATGCAGAACCATACATTTGGCAGACCTTACAAGAAATAAACGACAAGGTAGAGAAAAGCAGAGAGGACTGGGAAAGAAAAAGGAATGAATTAAGCCATATTTTTATAAATAGGTTGCTAGCCACTTTGATTTATGTGGTAGTTCTCTCCCAGTCACAACCTTTGGGATTATAGATTAACGCTACTACTTCTTCAAAGCTATTTATAATGGAGAGTCCTCCTGCCATGCAAGAGAGAACTACAGGCCAGGTTTGTTGCTCAAATGTGCATAGCTGGACTTCTAGCCAAGAATGATGGTCATGGACTGTGTTGCCCTTGGACCTGAGATCCAGTGCTCTAATATTGGGAGCGGAGCAGAAGGTATCAAGGGAGAAGAGAATCGAGTATACAGTCAAACCTTGATTTATGACCATCCTTGGACCAGAATTTCAGTTGTAAATCGAGGCCCCATATGACCAGACTCAATAATATAATTGTTTTTTACAGAGGTTGTTAAGCAAATGCGGTCATTAAGCAAACCGTATGGTTGTAGGTGGAAAGCCACTTTATCCAATGGATCGTTCTTGCCAGAAAACTGCAAAAAATGTCACGAAGACCAGTCATATGATGCTGCCACTGGTCATACATGTGAGCCAGTTGCCAAAGGCCAGAAATACAACCGGGAGTCCTGTGGCAGTCATAACTTGGGGGATGGGTCATGTGTAATTTGAGTCCATTGTAATTGCAAATGGTCATTAAGCGATCGGTTGTAAATCAAGGACTACCTGTACTGTCCCTTCATTCGTTTAGTTTCTTGGGCTTTTCATAATGACTAAAGAATTGGGCTTTTTAACGAAGTACAGAATTGTGTTTTCTATGGAAGGGAACGGACTTTAAAATTGATTTCTTGCTTTTCCCAGGGGATGATTGTGAGCCTGTTTCCTATTGATATCATTGGGCAGTTAATTAGTCTGCTTCATATGTCGCTGCTTTACTCACTGTATTGCTTTGAGTACCGTTGGTTTAATAAAGGTGAGTCCAGCTGGCTTTCCCCTGTGTAACTAATTAAAAAAAAAATCCTCTCATTTTCTTCTTAAGCCTGGGGGTTATTTTGTGCACATGTATACAAATCCCATCAAACCCTCTTCCAGTAGAATCTTTGGAGATTCTCCAGTGGCAGAAGCAGAACTGAAAAATTAAGATTAAAATTATTTTCTGCCTGCTGGTGGTGTGGCGGCTGGAGGTCTCTGTTATCAACAGTGATCAGTAAATATGGATACATGGGTTGGAGGTGTAGTCACATAATACTTCCTAGAATGTGAAGTAGGAAATACTGGGATCGTAATTCTTGAAATATGAAATCCAGTATTATATCACAGCATTAATTCTTTGAACCATGTGTTTTGGGTTTTTCTCTTGCCAGGAATTGAAATGCATCAACGATTATCCAACATTGAAAGGAACTGGCCTTATTACTTTGGATTTGGGTTGCCACTGGCCTTTCTCACTGCAATGCAGTCTTCTTACATTATCAGGTGACCTACTGAGAAACTGGAGACATGCCATCCTTTTTCTTTTCAGTGAGAGGGATAGTAGGAAAAGTAGGTAGGGAATTACTGGAAAGAGACCCGGTGTAAATGATAATGGGGAAGGAGAACAAGAACATCCCTCAGAGCAGTGATAGAAGCAAAGCCTTTGAAAAGCTGGTCTTGGGGTATTGTTGTGAGCCCTTGAAGATTTAATTGAGATGTATGGCTTTTTCCTTCTGGACATCCATGATGTGTTTTTCTATTTTATTGTGTCCTCCTTTTAAAAGTGTAAGCCAGTGGTGGGACTCAAATTTTTTTACTACCAGTTCTGGGGGCATGGCTTGGTGGGTGTGGCTTGGTGGGCGTGGCAGGGGAAGGATATTGTAAAATCTCCATTTCCTCCCCACTCCAGGGGAGGGTTACTGCAAACTCCCCATTTCCTCCCGATCAGCTGGGACTTGGGAGGCAGAGAATAGATGGGGGCGGGGCCAGTCAGAGGTGGTATTTACCGGTTCTCCGAACTACTCAAAATTTCCACTGCCGGTTCTCCAGAACTGGTCTGAACCTGCTGAATACCATCTCTGGTATAAGCCACCAGAGTCATCCATAGTCGGGCAACCTCTAAATCATGAGTGAACGAATGAATATTTCATGATAAAGTGCAGGAAAACCAAGACACTTTTTTATAAGTACAGTACTATTTCCTGTTTCCAGTTATGCCAGAATATTAATCTGGGCAGAACTTGGATGCTGGCCTTTCCTGCTACTGATTGAGTCATTCCATGTGTCAGCTATAGGGGACAAGAGGGAGCCTACTATATAAAAACTTAGATGGTATATAATAAATTATCATATAGGACAGGGGTGTCAAACTTGTGGCCCACAGGCCGGATGTGTCATGCACTGGCCATGCCCACCCCCAGCTTAGGGAAGGGGGAAAAAAGTCATGATATGTCACGTGATGATGACCTGACGACACAAGTTTCATACCTCTGATATAGGAGAAGCTATGTTATATTAAGTGGCAAACTGCATGACAAAAGATGTGGATACAGCATTTGGATGCTGGATATTTGGATTGTTCTTTGTTACTTTGTATTTATTTATTCAGTTTATACGTTGCCCATTATTAAATTTATGTCACCCATCTCATCAGTAAGGCGACTTTGGGCAGTAAAAGATAAATATAAAAACAATTAAAATTAAGAAGAGGTACATAAAAACTAAGACCAAGGTTGCTTTCAAAACCTCATAATGTATGAGCAATTTTTTCAGTGATTGAAGGAGCATGTAAGTTAATAAATACAGTCTGAAGTCTCCTAAATTTAAGGCACAACATTTGGAAAAAACTGGTTCATTTACTAAACTGTCCTCTTCATTTTCCAATACACATGTATGCATGTGCAATGCATATATATGGGTGGTTGGATTCTCAGATCTTGTTAACACATGGTTTATTCTACCTAGAGTTTATCAAAGCAATGACACTTGTTTCAAGTATAGCTCTGAGCTGATTACCATAATTTAAAAACCATAGTGCAATTCATTAATTTCTTGATAGCATAAATGCTTATAATGACATGTTCCACTTGATTGAGTTTAAGGATGTAAAAAAAAAACCTGCACTAAAATAGAAAGGAAAGGTTTATGTTCACCTCTGTACTCTGCATTAAGACTTTTCATCCACATCATATTCTGTATTCTCCCTTTTTAAAAAAACTCTGCAGAGAGACTTGTATCACATCTTCTATTTTCTCTCCCCGCCTCCTTTCCCCACAGCGGCTGTTTGTTCTCCATTCTTTTTCCTCTATTTATTATCAGCGCCAATGAATCCAAGACACCAGGAAGAGCATAGTAAGTACCCATTTCCTTTTTCAGCAGATGTTTTTATGAGTAAGGAGAGAATTACGGTCTACCTAAAATTGCTGATTTCTTTTTTCTTAATGGTCTCACTAGATATTTTTTCTTGGTGTTGAAAATGAGGTCATCGAGATTAGTGGTTTGTGGACCTCTAGCGGGGGTGGGGGGGTTGCGATGCTATCACAAGGGGTTCATGAAGATGAAGAAATGTTATGATTTAAATCTTGAGTTAAATCTTGGGGGTCCCTGGCCATAATCAATGGGTACAAAAGGTATTTAAAGATGATAGTGGTGAAGAAAAGGTTGAGAATTATAGAAATTATAGAAATACTCAAGTATTTATCTCAGTGATCTAGATAGCTTTGGAAACAGCTGACTGTTATTTCAAGATGTTCAAACTTGAATGTTGTCTTCCACATCCAAAGTTTGCTGTATTAGGTCCATAAAATTAGGGTTTTTCTATTTATGATTATTTTACTTATAATTATTAGTTATATATTTTATTATTTATGATTGATGGGGAGTTGTATTATGCTTGCTTTTACAGTCTTGATTGGGAAGAATGCCAGTGTCTTTTTTTGACATGAACAGTGCTTGGCAAACACATATTAACTGATAAGGGCCATATTCAATATTCATGTCAAAAATGGCAGAACAGTGATAGCCCAGCAGTTGTGAAAAAAGGAGATATTGAGGGCTGCAAACCTGCAAGATTTTACATGAACCCCAAGGTTGCCCATTTCCTTGCTAGAGTAACTGAGTGCCTTTCAGCTAGAGTGAGAAATAAAAGAATATTTTGCTATCAGGAAAAGATGCAGATAATCCTAAACTTATGACAGTTTGTTTAATAATAGTTCAGTTTAACGATGGACTCAGAAAAGGGCCATAAGGCAGATGTGTTGCTTAATGACTACTTCACTCAACAACTGAGATTCCATTTTGGTTGTCAAGGATTACCTGTATAGGTAAATGCTTCTGCCCCAGTGAAGTAGATTATACATTTTTTGCCCTGACAACTATGGAAAATTAGTGTAAGCAGAAAAGATTCTACTACTTATAAACCTGTATTGCTTATAAACTTCTAAAAGTCTAGATCTTTTAGACCTAGGCTGAGGTCTAAAAGTTTTATTATTTATTTATTAAATATGTTTGCCGCCCATCTTGCCACAAATCTGCATAACTGACAAAAGATTTCAGCAGTAGAGAAAAATGGTAAGAACTGTTCTCTGACATCAATAATTGGTGTTAGGCAGATCTGGTATGTTGAAAGGATCTAATGCAGAATGTAGGGAGTTTTCGACTTAGGACCATAATTGAGCCCCAATTTCCATTGCTACGCAAGATAATTGTGTAAATTTTGCCCCATTTTATGACGGCAATTGTTAAATTAGTGACACGGTTGTAAAGCAATATTGATTTTGCTTGTCAGAAGGTCACAAAAGGTAATCACATGACATCGGGACACTGCAACTGTCAGAAATAGATGCTAGTTGCCAAGTGTCTGGATTTTGATCACATGACCGCAGTAGTCATGTGAAAAACTTCCAAAAGTTTTTTTTTTCTGTGCCATTATAGCTTCGAACGGTCACTAAACGACTGGTCGTAAGTCGAGGAATACCCATATGTCCACGAATTAAAGTGATCTTAATAGAGTTTAAGAAACTAATAGAGGTTGTCTTCTATTCCAGCCACTTCCAGCTACGACTCTTTTCCTTGGTCGTCTTCCTTAGCAACAAGCTATTTCATAAGACGGTTTATTTTCAGTCCAGCCAGAGCAGCTCTTCGTCCGCTGATCGACTGCCCTCGCCACGCTCCTCACCTGCTCGACTGGCACACTGAACCCCAGAGCAGGAAGGCGGATGAGAACCGTTGTTTCTGCGATTCTGAAGTGGGCAGGAAACAGTCTGCCAGGGGTGGGGGTGGGGGTGAGGGGCTTGTGCATTTTCCCTTGTGATCTCTCTTTTAAGCCCCAGTTGGACATTTGCATCTCACTGAGTGGTAGATTGAAATACTTTGGGTGGGCGGGTGGGCGAGTGGGTGGGAGGAGCCTGGATTTTTAACTTTTGTGAGTTTATTTTGGAAGCCAGGTTCTATGCTTGTTTTTATAGTGTGTAATGAGCCTGTTTCTGTGCACTTTTTTGTATATTTCCTTACATTTCCCAGGATGAATGATTTTTGTAACGCATATTGTCGTAGCTTTCTGATGCTGATGGGGTCTTTACCACAAGTGTTGGATTTTTCTCAATGGTCGCAGTTCTTTATATGGTTACCTCAGGTCAGGATTTTGTAATCCCCATTGTATGCTGAAATGAAAAGTGGATCATGTAACATTTGGGCAAAGTTAAGATTTGTGGGGGTGGGGTGGGAAGATGCTTCTTGCTGGCATCCGGTGGCCTCTCTTAACTTTATTTGGTTTTTTTTTTATTTTGAAGGAATCTGCTTTTGATGGATGCAACAAATTCCTAATCTTAAGGACAGAATGTATTGTTTTGTTTTTTACTTATATCCTTGGAGCTTTTGAAAAGCACCTTCTGAACATTGAAAGGGAAATTTGAAAAGTGTACGGGTAAAGTCAGGCACTGAAGCGAAAACTTGTTAATCCTTGTGTCTGGGGTTGAAGGGTGACAATATACTGTTAAAATTTTGCAAGAAACAATGCTTCTAAGGAACATATTTATGGATCCTGGGGATGGATTATGGGGTGGGGGAGGACTTGTACACAAGGGAGATTCTGAACTGAATCTATGGAGAAACAGGTGTTGGGGCTGGTGGTTACAACAGGGCTTATGCACAAGTCTACACAGGGGCCACTGGTGCTAAGCCCAATATGGAGAAGAGAATTTGCTAATGTCAGTTCCAAAGGCCTCCAACTCAAATACTGATAGGAAGCCTGACCTGGAATTATTGTCCCAGATGAATGAGAATGATGTACACCAAAGTGCTCCTGTGTGATTGTAGCTGCAATTGAAATTAAGGACTCCTCAGCTCAGGATATGTGAACTTCATATGTATTCATCTGTCTGTGTGTGTACATACGTAATTGTGTATGCACAAAGAAGTATAATGTGGTCCTGATCTTAGGCAGTATTCCTTATGCATGTCAGTTTGTGTATGGCTAAACATTACGAGATTTTTTTTTAAAGAAAAAGCCCTCTGGTTTTTGTAGAACTGAAGTCAGTCTACAGATAAATGTTTTCTCTTGTATTTTCACACTGAACCATTAAAGGAAAATGGGATATTAAAAAAAAGACTAATTGTGTGACTGAATCATGAAACTCATTTTGATGGGGATGGGAGAATGGCAGAATAAAAACTAAAACTTTCTGCAAACTGCTTCATAGAATTTCTGTTCCTGATTCAAACTATTCTGCTTGGGAAATGAGGAAAATTATGGTTTCCAGGGAATGAGGGAGAATTGTATAAATGCTAAAAAATAAGTAGGGATGTGTATATAGATTTTTAAAAAAGAATGGTATAGGATTATCTGCTTTGAATGTATTAATTTTTGTCTTTAACTGCAGCATTTTCAGATGCTGCCCAATAGACATCATGAGAGCAATGCAAGAAATTCATTTTCCAAAAAAAGAGGGGGGAGGCAGAATCAAGTGAGGAAGAGAATTCTGCTGCTGTTGATACAGTGCCTAAAATTATGTTATTATTTATTACAGTTGTTTATATCTTGCTTTCAAAAAACTAACAGCTGTCATTAGGGAAGGACTGAGGTAGAAGGAGCAAGAGAAGGTCAGAATGCTCAGAGTTGATGTATTGTAGAGCATTTGGAAATCATGTGTATTATACTGTAAAGAATACCTTTGAAAGATGTCTGAGCTGCCCTTTAAGCCTGGTAGAACCAGGTTGAGAACTGGATGGGGGAAAGGCCAAATTTTAATTTTGATAACGTTTGATAACTCTTGGGGCTGGATGGTAAATTAAACTTGGGGTAAATACAATTAATGCATTTGCACAAACAAATCACTTGCATTGGGGTTCTTATAACATACAGAACTATCAACTTTCCACAGCATATTAGCCTATGTAGTTGCTTAGTGCAAACACAGCTTCCCCCTTGGGACCTTGCTTATTCCCATCTTATCTTAAAGTCTTTGTTCTTTAAAATGCAGACTCATCCAGAGTACCCACTTGCTACTCTGTCTCATTTTGAAGAGGAAATGGAAAGGAAGTGTTTTTGGAGCTGCTCTTAGTGTTGGGTGTTGGGCAAACGATACCCCAAGCTATCAACAAAGTATGCTTATTCAGGAATATACCAATTGAAATCGGTGGCATATCTATTTCCTCTAATAATAAGCTGTGAGCGATCAGTCCCCTGCAAAACAGCCCTTCAAATGCGCCCCGCCTCCCGCACATGCGAGTGTAACTGCCCTCATGCTCCCCACACTTTTGGCAAGCGATGGCACGGTGGGCCTGGCAGGCCCGTTTTTCATCCTCCCTAGGCTCCAGAGGCTTTCTAGGAGTCTGGGGAGGGCAAAAACTGCCTCCCCTCCCCGGAGGCCCTCCAGAGGCTGGAAATAGCCTGTTTCTGGACCTCTGGTGGGCCCGGAACGGCTTAAAATCAGGTGGCCGGCGCGCACATGTGTGCTGGAGCTGAGCTAGGGCAACGCTTGTGTGTCCACAGATACGGCTCCACGTGCCACCTGTGGCATGCTTGCCATAGGTTCACCATCAGGGCCCTATACCTATACCATTTCAGACAGGTGGCTGTCCTCCAGTTTCTTAAAAGCCTCCAGCGATGAAGCAACCACAACTTTTGAAGGCAAGCTGTTCCACCGGTCAATTGTTCTCCCTGTTAGGAAATTTCTCCTTAATTCCAGGTTGGTGCTGTCCTTGGTTTGGTTTCCATTCCATAGTTCCTTGTCCTGCCTTCTGATGCTTTGGAAAATAGGCAGACCCCCTCTTCTTGGCGGCACCCCTGAGATACTGGAAGACTGCTATTCTGTCACCCCTAGTCCTTTTCATTAAACTAGCCCAGGGATGGGCAAATGTGGCTCTTCTACAACCTGTGGACTTTAACTCCCAGAATTCCTGAGCCAGCTTGGCTGTCTCAGGAATTCTGGGAGTTGAAGTCCACAGGTTGTAAAAGCCACACCCCTGAACTAGATATGGCATACCCATGCCCTAACTTCAGCTGGTGCGGTCATCCTGATGGGATTCTGGCAGTGGCACGCGTCCCAGTTGAAGGGCGTCAGACTGGGAAAAGCCGCCAGAACTCCAGCCACATCCTTCAATCTGGCGGTTCAGATGCGCTCAAGGGGATCCCGGCCGCGAACTCGCCCTGCCACTTCCTGCCACGTGAAAGCCTCTGGCCACGCCCCCCCTCCCAGCTCCTCCTCCCTCCTCCCCGTTACCCAGAGCGACACGTCACTACTCGCGCCTCAACCAAGCTTCCCTCCTCCTCCCGAGACAACCAACCGCGTCGGGCACGCCTCCCCTGTTAAAAACCGCGGCGCCCCGTCCTTCGAACTTCCGCTTTGTTGACGGACGTGGCCTCGGCCCCGTTATCTTTCCCGCGGGGCGGGCCCGTCGTGGTGATCGACGCGCCCCTCGGCCTGTCGCTGTGCACGGGGAAAAGGCGAGCGGGCTGAGGAGCTGGGAGTGGGCGCGCGTGGAGCGGATGGCTGAGGGAGCCGGGCGGAGAGCGAAATCTGAGTCCCCGGTGAGGAATCGGAGCCCGGAGGGAGTCTCCATCAGGCCGGGGGCTGCTGCAGCCTGAGGGAGCTGAGGAGGGCGGCGGCTGGGCGGTGGGATCACCGCTGAGGGTGTGTGTGTGTGGGGGGGGGAAGCCGTGGAAGCCCCACGCGCGATCGGCCCAAGGCGGCCTCTGGAATGAAGGGGGTGGCTGTTCCCCCCCCCCCACCGGGCCTCCGATCGTGTTGCTCGACTTCATTCTGCATCGGGCACCGCATCTTCCAGCCCCTCCCCACTCCCAGCCCTCCCCCCCCCACAAAAAAAGCCTTGCAGCTAGAAAAGTAGCTCCTCAGGGAATCTTTGGCCATCGTTCCCCCAGGCAACGGGGAAGGATGAGATGGGCTTCCCCCCGAAAGCTCTCCTTCCGCTCCGCCAAGAGAATGAATGAAATCAGGACACAAACAGGCAGGGTGACTTCACACGTTAGCATTAACCCTGGTTTGCTAACACACACACACACACACACCCTCAACACCCCCGTCCCCCCGACCTTTTAAGCAAGAGGCCGACTTGGGGCGGGCTTGTGCAACGTGTGAAACCATCCTCTGCGAGTGGGAAAGGTAGAAGGGCTTCCAAGGAAGGGCGCAGCCGAATTTGTCTCCTTGAACCGGATTTCTGGTCTGTTTTAAAGCTTTGTAGAGCTTTTAAGGCAGGGGTCTCCAACCTTGGCCACTTTAAGACCTGTGGACTCCAACTCCCAGAATTCCTCAGCCAGCAAAGCAAAGCTGGCTGAGGAATTCTGGGAGTTGGAGTCCACAGGTCTTAAAGTGGCCAAGGTTGGAGCCCCCTGCTTTTTAAGGGGTGATCTCTCTACCCATTAAAACCCTGCAATGGGGCCTTTTATTCTGCCATTCCGTTTTCTTCCAGGGAACATTTTTCACTTCCCTTGATATTTCTGCCTGTCAGGTAGATTTATGTGATTTGTATGCCGCCCTATCTCTGTAGACTCAGGGCGGCTCACAACAATAAAAACAAACCCAATGAAACATAAAATACATACAAAATACATTAATGTATAAATATAAATTTAAAACATATATTAGAACCCATTAAAATAATCAAACCCCCTCAGTCCAGTCCAGATCTCATCGTCCTCAGTGTTTTGACAGACTTTTTTTGTTTTGGGGATTCCAGTTGTGTATGGTTGGCATCCTGAAGAGCCCAGCCAGGAGGATGGATTTTCAATCGAAAAGTTACCGTTAGCAGTGCTTAAAAATCTCTGTCTAGAT